CGTCGTAGATGTTGTGCGGGCCGACCTGGCGCTCCATCTCCCCCAGCAGCGCCGCGCACTTCTCTCCAGTCCCGGCCCCCGCGTCGCACGCGAAAGGCCCGCCGCGGCTCGACGGGCTGTAGTCGGTCGGGAAATCGCAATTGGCGTCGATCTGCTTCTTGAGCGCTGGGGAGTAGAGGCCCTTGCCGAAGTAGAACTCGGCGCTGACCTTGTCCCCGCTCGGGCCATTGCAGGCCACGCAGGTGTCAGTGCCCCCCCAGCAGGCGTTGCCGGCGGCGATGCCTCTCAAGCGGATTCGGGTGTTGAACGGCTCATTCTGTAAGATAAAGTTGGCGATGTTTGGGCCGTACTGCCCAAAGTAAGACTCCCCAGTGAGGTAGAGATCGTTGCTGGCGTACTCTGGGAACGCGTCGAAAAAGACCAACAACGTGTGGGCGTATGCCTCGGCTTGACTGACATCGTCCCATCTGCACGGCACTGCCTGCTCGTCGCGCAAACACGTGGAGTAGCCCGCGTACCCCTTCGGATCATCCCCCCCGCTGCCAGCTGGGGACTCCAGATACAGCATGTTCGCGACCTGGTTCCACGCGAACGGGTTCAGGTACTTCTTCGTGTCGCCGACCTGGAACGCGCCCATCTCGCTGTACAGGCCTATGGCGATGGAAGAGCCGCCCGGCCCGCCCTGGTGCCAGGCCACGACCGGGTCGCTGGCGTTGTGGCCGCGGCTGGTGTGGAACTGGTAGTGGACGGACTTGGAGGCGGCCGGGGGGTCTGAACTGGCTGGGGCCCTGGCAAGTCGGCCAGGCGGGGAGATGAAGCCAAATCCATTTTTAAATCGGTCCCCAGACCCCTCTCGGTGCTCTCGGTGGGTCCATCTGCCTCCTTCTTTCACCCCGGATCCGCTTCTCTCAAGGTCCCAGGGCCCGAAAACGGTCTCTGGAATCAGAAAGCGTTAAAAAAGGCCCCGAACCCAGAACCTCGAACTTGCTCGCCCTTCTTGCTGCCCAGGGCCAGTGCTGGGCCACCTCAGACTGCTGAGCGAACAACACGCACCCGTGCCCATAGGAGGGCGGAGGGGGCTATGGGTGCGTGCTGTCGGATGGCGCTCCCCGCTCGAACGGGAGCCCCACGCGGGGTCCGACATCCCGCGCCCATACCCATAGCCAGCCCTCCTCCCTCCGACCCCCCTAACCGTGAAAGGTCTTCAGACCCCCCCACACCAGTGGAAACAAATGAATCTTCGGCGATCCACCACACAACAACGACGACGACGAGATGACTGAGGAGATTGTAAGCAACGCCTTCGGCGAAAAATGTATCGATCTTATTGCAATCCTCTTACAAACGTGCTCAGAATTCCTCTGTCGTGCAGTCGCCGAGGGAGCATTAGCCCCTGGGAGAGCCCCCATACATCATATAGCCCGCGCGACAATAGAGGGAAACATATCTCCGCCGCGACGACGACGACGCTTACGACTACGATTAAGATTACGAAGACCATTGCGATTACAACCGCGACGACGAGTACGAGGATAATCTCGTCTACAATCACGACTATAACCACAACCACTGGTTCGTATTGCAGTCCTCACGAGAAGATGCACAAATCCTTTCGCGTGGAGGGCTGCAACTCAATGGATTCCTCCTGGGAGAAATATACCCACCATTATGCAGCCCACCCAACAATAGATGGAAAAACTTAGATCTCCGCCGCCACGACGCAAGTAGTAGGAGTGGTAGAAGAAGAAGTAGTAGACGTAGTAGTCGTCGTCGTCGTAGTAGTAGTAGTAGTAGTAGTAGTAGTAGCAGTAGTAGTAGTAGTAGTAGTAGTAGTAGTAGTAGTAGTAGTAGTAGTAGTAGTAGTAGTAGTAGTAGTAGTAGTAGTAGTAGTAGTAGTAGTAGTAGTAGTAGTAGTAGTAGTAGTGGTAGTAGTAGTAGCAGTAGTAGTAGTAGTAGTAAGTAGAAGTAGTAGTAGTAGCAGTAGTAGTAGTAGTAGTAGTAGTAGTAGTAGTAGTAATAGTAGTCGTAGTAGTAGTAGTCGTAGTAGTAGTAGTAGTAGTAGTATAGTAGTAGTAGTAGTAGTAGTAGTAGTAGTAGTAGTAGTAGTAGTAGTAGTAGTAGTAGTAGTAGTAGTAGTAGTAGTAGTAGTAGTGGTAGTAGTAGTAGTAGTAGTAATAGAAGAAGTAGTCGTAACAGTAGTAGTAGTAGTAGTAGTAGCAGTATCTTAGTAGTAGTAGTAGTAGTAGTAATAGTAGTAGTAGTAGTAGTAGTGCTAGTGCTAGTAGTAGTAGTAATAGTAGTAGTAGTATTGATAGTAATAGTATTGACAGTATTGATCGTAGTCGTAGTGATAGTCGTAGTAGTAGTAGTAGTACTGGTAATAGTAGTAGTAGTGGTAATAGTAGTAGTGGTGGTAGTAGTAGTGGTAGTAGTAGTAGTCGTAGTAGTAGTAGTGGTAGTCGTTGTAGTAGTACAAGTAGTAGTAGTAGTAGTAGTAGTAGTAGTAGTAGTAGTAGTAGTAGTAGTAGTAGTAGTAGTAGTAGTAGTAGTAGAGGTAGTAGTAGTAGTAGCAGTAGTAGTAGTAGTAGTAGTCGTAGTGTCAGTAGTAGTAGTAGTAGTAGTAGTAGTAGTAGTCGTAGTAGTAGCAGTAGTAGTAGTAGTAGTTGTGATCGTAGTTGTAGTAGTAGTCGTAGTAAAAGTGGTAGTAGTAGTGGTAACACTAGTAGTTGCAGTAATCGTAGTTGTAGTAGTGGTAGTAGAAGTAGTAGTAATAAT